CAGCCGCCGCCACCACCACAAAGTTCGAGCACCACCACCGGCATCAACATCAACAACAATTTCTGGGATTTTTTTTCAAGTTCTGGCTTTTTTTTCGATTGTAATTGTTTTTGTTTTCGATTCACCAATTTTGGTTTTGTTTTCGATTCACCAATTTTGGTTTTCGATTTTGATTTTGGTTTTTGATTTTGGTTTTCGATTTTGGTTTTTATTTTGGATTTCCTTTTTAGGGTTTCGATTTTAATTTGCCTTTTATTTTGGATTTTGGTTTTTTTTCCTATTTGTTTTTCGTATTTGTTTTTTTTTTCCGATTTTGATTTTGTTTTTTTCGAATTTTTGGTTTCTTTTTTTCGATTTCAATTTTGGTTTTTTTTTTGGTTTTTTATTTTGATTTTGGTTTTCGATTTTGGTTTTTATTTTGGATATCGTTTTTAGGGTTTCGATTTTAATTTGCCTTTTACTTTGGATTTTGGTTTTTTTTCCTATTTTTTTCGTATTTGTTTTTTTTTCCCGATTTTGATTTTTTTTTCGAATTTTTGGTTGCTTTTTTCGATTTCAATTTTGGTTTTTTTTTTCGTTTTTGATAAATTTTTATATTTTGATTTCAATTTCTGTTTTATATTTTATATTTTGATAATTTTGGTTTTTTTTTCGTTTTTGATAATTTTTTATATTTCGATTTCAATTTTTGTTTTATATTTTATATTTTGATAATTTTGGTTTTTTTTCGTTTTTGATAATTTTATATATTCTTAAGCTTATTTTTACCAATTGATTTTTTTTTCTGTTTTAATTAGTGTGTACAGATTATGCAAGAATATTGATATGTTCATGTTGTAAATTTTTTTTTATGATTTATAATGTAATTTTTTTTTATTTATTTATAATGTTAGTTATAATTGATCTATATTGTAATTTTGGATTTCATTATATATTGTAAATTTTGGATTTCATTATGTATTGTAAAGTTTGGATTATATATATTGAAACCAATTCGATTTTTGTTTTGAATTGTTATTTTTTTTCAGTTGATTTTATTGGTAAGTGAAAAAAAAAACAAAAAATACAAAAATGGACATTTTTGGCACCGGTTAACCGGTGCCAAAAGGAGGATAAATATTTTTTTTTTAGTATTTTTGGCACCGGTTTTGAACCGGTGCCAAATAGGGGGGTATTTGGCACCCCCCACATAGGCACGAGTTCAAACCGGTGCCTTAGGCCGGGTTTGAACCGGTGCCAAATGCGTTTTTTCACGTAGTGTCAATTTCCCGGAAATTGAAAAAAATTCATTAGAATATCTCTAAGATTAGCACATGCTCTAGATTTGGCCTGACAAAATAATAAACTATCGTCTGCAAACAGTAAACAAGGGATGATCGGAGCAGATGGGGTAAGAGCAATGCCAGATGATTTATCTAATGATTATTGAAGTAATTTTCGAGCAATAACTTCCATACAAATAACAAAGAGAACCGGGGATAAAGGATCCACCTGACGTAGACCTCGAGTGGAAGTAATTAATTCTGTAGAGTTTTTATTTACTGAAGTCGAGTAAGATCCATGTAATCAAAGTTTTATTAAATCCGAAAGCTTTTAAAGTATCTCATAGGATATCCCATTCAACCCGATTATAGGCTTTTTCCATATCTAATTTTAAGGCTAACAATCGTAACCTATATATTTTTGGACTTATTAAACATATTTAAGATTTCTTGGACTAACAAAACGTTGTCATGGATTGCTCTTTCCGGAGCAAAAGCATTTTGATATGGTCCTATAACTTTCTTTAAGAATAATTTAATTCTATTTACCAGGATTTTAGCTATTGCTTTATAAATTGTAGTGCAAAGACTAATACGGGGAAATTGATGTGTCATATTTGGATTGTCAGTTTTTGGAATTAGTATAATTATTGTAGGGAATATTTCAAGCATTATCCCTAGCTTGAACCCCACTGTGATCATACACTTAAGTACGGTGGCGTCCAAAGGGAAAGAAGATAGAGCAAAAGAGTCGCCAACAAGTTTTAGGAACTTGTAAACCATTCACGAGGTGAAGGTTACACCCCTTAACGATCCAAGAGATCGTTAACTCCAATAGGTCTGGAACCATGACTGGTAGTTCGGGGATGAAGGTACAAATCCAACCTAAAAGAGATTGAACCTGCCCTAATAATAGACCTCTACTTTATTCTGATCGTATTCATGTGCGCTTTCTGACTAACATGCAATCAATAGGATTAACCCTAAACATGTTTAATCTATGTTAGTTGAATATTAATGCACAAATAAACTATTATTGGCGATCACTTGAGTTATAATCGAATTAACCCTAAACAAGATTATTAATTATCTTATTAAGCATGATTACAAGTACAAATTTCCTTTAAACATGCATAAAAGGTGTGATCAAGCAATAACAATAAATGTATATCAAGCAACATAATAATCATCGTAAAATAATCATATTTATCATAAATTATAACAATTATAATCATAATTAAAATAATCATATTAAAGCTAAAGTATAATAATAGCAAGTCCTAGGCATGATACTAATAAGATTAATAACAAACCTTAGCATGTCACTAAGCAATAAAAATCAAATATTTAGCCATAACATGATACTAACATGATATTAGAAAAGAAAGTAAAAGGCATCACAGGAATTATAATTGTCATATTTGATATTAAAGTTACCCTAGACATGATACTAAGAATCAATAAAAACATCCTAACATGATACTAGGAATCAAAATAACGATCTAAACATGATTTCTATATCATTTTATCAAAGCACTTACTTAGATGCCTCGTACCTTTTTCTTATAACAAAATACACGCGTTAGTAACTTCAAGGAAAATAATAAACAATAATTAAATTAAATAATAATTGAAAGAGAGATTTGGGGCCAAACCCTCAGAAATTAAAACCTTTCACGTCTAGGGCGAAGGCAACTTCGAATAATGCTAGGTGTATCTAAGTCTTGTGAATGTGAAATTTTGTAAAAAAGAGGGTAGGTTTAGAAGAGAGAGAGAAAAGCTTTAGCTTAGAGCGAGTTGATGATTGTAGATTGAATGAAAACGGAGTTTTTAGGAGGCTATTTATAGAGAAAATTAGCCAAAAAGATAGAAAATTGAACCAGAATTCTGACGCGCAAAAACAAGGTTAGCGCCAGACGCTGACATTAGCGCCAGGCGCTAAGGGCTGGCGTTTGACGCTAATTGAATTTCTGACACGTTTTCTAAAATCAGATAGAAATTAACCGTACAGGAGGATAAAATCGTATTTTCCTAAAAACATTTTTTTTTCTGATTAAAACTCTAAATAGTCAACAAAAGTCAATTTATCAATGCTAATTGAATTAGGAGTGAAAAGAACCTTCTTGAAGAATCTAGAAGACTAAAACCATTCCTAATTGCATTAGGAATGATAAATCCATATTAGGCCCTCCTCTAAATCATTGGGCTGCATATAAGGTTCAAACCGGGCCCAGTTTAGTAATTTGGTCATAACTTCCTCAATATTCATCGGAATTGGGCTTATAATATATCGTTGGAAATAAAGCTCTTTTCAAGCCCTATCCAACTACACTATTAACGGACCCATATCATGGACCAACCAAAGTGGATTGGTTGTTTTCTTAAAATAGGTTTTCAAAAACAGAGAGAAGAGAAAAGAAATTAAAATTATCCGCAACACTAGACTTTCTACACTTTCACTTCATTCGATTATGATTCGACGTGAAAGGTACTCATCACCGGGTTTGGTTTTGGGGAGACACAAATGGGTGTCTACAATAATAATCGTATGATTAAGTTGTCTTAATAATCTATAAATATTACTAAAGTAACAATCGCTGACGTCATCACTGCTTACGTTTCACTCTCTTATTTAATTTTTTCCCACCAAAATGAAAGGATGATGTCATTTTATTTATTTTTTCCCTTTTTGAGCTACCCTATTTAATATTGTTTTGAAAATTAAATTCAAATTGAATTTTAAATTTTAAATTTTAAGTTTTCTACGCATATTACGCTATTTTATTATTTACAAATAGTTGTTAAAAAAAGTTAATAATATAGTTTAATTTATTCTAAAAAATATTATGAAAAAAAAAATGGATTTTTAAATATTGTATTTTCATATTTAATTAGAAAGTACTACGGAGAAAGTAGTTGTTTACTCTCTCAACATGTGTTAAAAAGTCTAATTCATTTTTTATTTTAAAACCGTGCATTGCACGGGGCTAATATAGTATACCATTATGAAAAAAACCTTCTTTACAAATATCCATTCCAATAATAGGCCAATAATATTGGAAAATTTTCGGCCCAAAATCATCCGAACCTGGAGCTTTATATATGGAGACTTATCGAAGAAGACTTGTTTGATTTCTTCATTATTGGTGATTTGCTCAAATTTCTAGCAGTTTTTTTTTCTTTTTTTTTTCTTTTGGTTCTACTTTATGTACGTACTCCTCCCTTTTCTTTATTCCCGCGAAATTTGATGAACAAAATTATACGTTGTATTAAATAACGACCGGAGTAAGTGAAACATACATCATTATGCAATATCATGGTTATTATTATACTACCTTCGTTTCGTATTACTCGTAACGAAGAGGTACTATTTGTAAAATATAAAATCTTTCTTTGTTGTAAATAATATGAAACGGAAAGTATTAGGTACATAAGGCAAATATTTTTAGTGCGTTTTTTCTTAGTGGTTTTTGAGGAACACCACAATCAGTAACTAGTCAGTGAAACCTTGATGGCATAGATAACAACCATGACACCACAATCAGTAACAAAACTACTATCTTTATTTTGAAGGAAAACAAGCTCATGCCTAGTATTTGATCTAGCCTCAAAGCCAACAATTTTCAAACTTTCAAAAACAAGTCAAGATCATATCGAGGACTCGAGGCGTCATTGATCCGTGTGTCTAGGGGGGAGAGGGGCTTTCGTATATAGAGGCAAGTGAAGATGCACATGCAGTGGCACAAAAATAAGCGATTTGCACATTCAAATAAACTCCTAAACTTCTTTTTCATATACAGGGTTACAGGAAACATAGCATGTTTTAAATTGGTGCCAACATATTACGAGTACAACGAAGAGTAAGTAGCCCATTTCCGACCTAGATATTAACAAAATTTGGGCAAAATGATAATTTTTTTTAAGGAAAACTTAAACTATTCCTGCATTATATCTTCCCAATGCCCACAACGGTCCAATGCGCCTTTTTTTGCATTGGAACATTTTTAAAAAGCCACAGATTAAGGGACAAAATGGCCCAAGTTACCATGTTGCACAGCAAGCCTCAGTCCCCACATCACACTCAGCATTGCAGCAACCACGCAACAAAAAAGGAGACACCGTAATCTTTTCATTTCTCCATAATTGATCTACAAGACCCAAAATCAATGGCATCCAGTTATGTATTGTGGGCCCCACACCGCTTTCCTGTTTCGACCGAATCTACACTGTCCGATCAGATCTCAAAAGACCCTCCCACCGGCATGGCGTGTGTAAGTGTTACGCACCAGAGAGATACACCTGAGACTGGATAATAGTTTTACCGATCTTGAACCCAGGTACTACTGTGAAGGCAACACATGGTTCGGCTTCTGGTAAGAAAGCCTCATCTGAGACACTTTCCATGTAAACCTCAGAGAACCGACACCTTTTCTTGAACTGGAAGATTGAGGCCACAGGGTCGAAAGAGAATGCCAAGCAATGAAGGAGCCATACCCTCTTAGCCATTTCTGCAAATGAGGTAAAGAAGGCAGTATCTGGGTAATCACCAGAATTCACAAGGTTTCTCTGGGTCAAGTTTCCAAAGAAGGATGACTCCATCTTTGGGTGCACTAGCCTCAGGTATTTGGCTCGACAAAACTTTCCAAATGTTGACTTGGGCTTCTGGCATAGATAATCCTTTGCTTTAACTGACTTCAACTCGGTGAATCTCTCGAAAAACAACCTTCGCCGCTGCTTATGTTCTGGTAATGATTCATTAGGGAGTGCAAAGTTAGGAATGTGGAAACTGTCGAACATTTCTTTGCTCACAAATGACTCGAACGTGAAGCATCTGTGCTCTTGTTTCCAGTATGAAACACTGGGATGGATAACATTAGCCGCTGCCTCCAGATTCCACCCGGCAGACTGCATCTCATTGACCATTAGCTTCACAAATGTCCGAATAGATCTTACTGTATGCCTGAGAACGGGGATGAAATGGTTGGGACTTAATCCTGACATGTGAAGATTGTCCAGGACAGCAAGTGAGCCACTAGCATTTAGTCTTTTCTCAATCAACCTGTTATCTTTCTTGAATTCCTCTAGTTTCTCCTTTAGGAATGTGATTTCGGACTCTTTCAGCTTGACCTCATACTCTAATTTTTTTGCCGTAATCCCATAAGTTTTCACCATGTTCTTCTGCTCTAGCAACTCATATGTGAGTAAACCCTTTTCAGGGAGTGGATCAAACTGTTTCTTTGTGAAACACTGTTTTACCTCTGATAAAGTCTTCAACTCAGAGACCACCATCTCATCAGAAGATTGAATTCCTTCGGCATCATAGGGAGATTGTGCAAATTGTAATTGAGCATAGGCAGCTTTGATAGATGAAATGCTGGCAAATACTTTAGCAAGAACAGCTTCGCGAGCAACCCTATTGGCAACCTCTTCATCTTGTTTCTCCCCCAATTTGCAGTGAACAACATGAACTAGCTCAGCTTTGATTTTTTCCTGAGGTTTCATCTCCCTGGACTTATCATGAGGCTTCGACTCCCAGATCTTTTCTTGCGGTTTTACCTCCTGGATCTTTTCTTTTGTTTTGACTCTTTGTAGTCCATCGGATGGGGTAATTCCAGTTACTGCACGAACATGCAGAACCTTTGAAATTGCTCGAGCTATCCTACTCTTACTTGGAGTGGTTGCTGGCCGCTTAACTGAATCCATCTGGAATAAGGAACAGAATAAACAGAGTTAAAACAAAAATTGCATAGTATTTGGCAAGCAAATCAACAACCAAGCACCACAAAGGAGTTGCAATGATTATAGTTATGAGAATATATATCAAAAAGAAAAAGTAAGATTTGCTTTATACTTAGATCGAAGCCATTACACAAGATATACATACTTTATTTAGCCTTTGAGGGTTCACAATTGCTTTCTTATAAAGTGCAAAAAAAGGTGGAAGATAGGACCAGGCAAAAGGAAAATGAACATGGAGACAAGAGGAACAAGAAGAGCAGAGCAAACTAAAAAACAGAGCTCAGAAATGCATATGCACAAAGATACCACATAAAAAGCGTGCCAAAAATTTAGCCCAAAGAACATGAAGGTGCCTTGGTTAGATTGACATAATCTATGCAAGGCTACAGATTTGAACCAGAGATATCAACCACATACAAGTTGTACTTGTAGCTTCCATAAACAATAATTATCAATCTCCACACTACAATGCTGCACACAGATAGTACATATGGCAAAGCTTGACCCACATATAATTTGTAAATTGATCCAAATGCTTCCTAAACAAGCTAAATCCAATCTGAAAAAAGGAAGGATGCTGGTTGAGTTTCCAAGATCAGACATAGTTTAAACATTACTATTTTATAATTTCGCAGCAGCTAGAGTATTAAGACGAGATGAGCACATCTCGGTTATTGCCATTTCTGTCGATTTCACAAACTAGCAAACAAAAAATTGACTATTTTATAATTTAAGATTCCTTGAACCGAGTGTTCATATAAAAAGAACAAGGCCATAGTTTGAGAACAAAATTATAGTAGAATCCTATGAAAGCAATTTAAGAATCAGTAAATTATTATGTTATTATGACACTGCAAGACCAAGGATGAATAATGGATTATTTGACCATATATCTTGAGTACAAAAATCAAAAAGAGACATCAACAAGCCTCATAGACCATCAGCCTACACTAGAGCCTAATAAAAAAAATTATATTAGTTCTTATGTGCAAGTTTTTATCATAATTTTGTGGGGGCAAATGATGCACCAAACACAAATTACAAGCCAATAAACCTCAACCTTCAATCCCTAACCCTATTGTAACTTAAAAAACTCCTCTAAACTCTAATGGCAAGTGAAGAATAAACAATAGCTAGTGTTAGCTTCCAACTTTTGGCCTTCCAAAGACAAGAATTCCCACTTCACAGGCATATAATAACATTTTATGAAATCACAAAACACACAAAGGCCATCCTCCAAAGGGATAAAAAAAGGAGAAATTAGGTCAGAAAAGCACAAGAGGACCATAGGTGCACCGTCTTATTTGACCATTGAAAGATTTTTTTTTTGTGAGATAAACACAATACAATACCCAGAATATTCAAATGTTTATTGAGCAAACAAGTAAGCAAGCAAAAAAAAACAAGCATCAACAGGATCCATACTACTAGATTAATTGCTTAATGATCTCCTATAATCAATTCATGAATGCTAGCTGTTAATTTGGTGTTGATCAGTGATCACAGTTGCCATTCACCATCAAGTGTCACTTCTGTCCGATTAGAGGGTGGGGTTCAAGATCAAATTACTTAAATCAAATCAAACTAGTAAAAGGTTGTTTCCCCAACATACCAAGTGAGTATTTCTCTAATCTCATGACAGTGCAATCATCATTCCACATCCAATATGATCCCACCGTTGGCATCAATTACGCTGAAAACAGTCTAAATGAGCACAATTTTATCACTAGCTAATGTAGAGTTGCGAATATGTTGAAAACATGTCTCCCATTAACCCACATTAAAATAATTCTAAGGTCAAAAAAATCAACAGTAAATTGAAAGGCAATTAAGTTTAATAATTCAAGATTTATTATTATAGCACAAAATTTACACTAAAACCACCGGGGAATGAAATGATTTTAGCTAACTACTGTTTATTTTCACTTCTACAGTTCTACTAATTAGATACAGTAAAATATTATACTAGCAAGAAAAGGCAAAAAAAAAAAAAAAAAAAAAAAAAAATACTATTATAATGATTACCCCGGGTATATTATATAGAGAAAGACAACTTGCAATAAACAAAGATAAGGGTAGATCTAAAATAATGTGAGGCGGAACATCCCAACTTTAGCTTTACCTTTTTTCGGTACTACTACAAACTTTATTTTCTGGATGTTATATAACTTTGTCTAATAGCTTCAGAAAATAGATCTATTTAGATTCTTTGACGCACTCAAAAAATTCCTGTAATGTAAACTCCCACCCATATACATTCATACGTCCAAAAAGTATCCCATGAAAAAAAAATTGGAAAATAAAATATGCATGCATTTAGTATTTTTGGTCCGTCAATTGTCACAGTGTCACTATGAGTCACTGTGACCCACTTCTGCATTAATAAAAGCAGGACCCCTCAGCCCCCCTTCCCCCCCTCCCAATTTCGTCAGGGATTCCCTTCTGTACATGGACAATATATACTGCATCTGAATATAATTATTATCATATTTTTGTCAAGTTCAAGTGGGACCCATATCTATATTTGACCCAACGTAAAGAAAATGATGTGAAGTACTCGTATATTACAAGTTATGGCTCTTTTTGAGTTTAAAAATGAAGTTATCTGTATTAACTAAACAAATTACCTTGATTTTATCATATACTTTAAGGGTCTGTTCTGATTGACTAAACTGAACCCCGCTAAACTAAATTTTACGAGAGAAGGAAATTAAGAACTTAGCTGAACTTATTGAAGAAAACAGACCCTAACTCAGACGAAGATGTGCATTAAGCCATATCATTAATCACTCTAAACATATGGACAAAAACTATAAAATGATGATCATAAAGCTACACAGACAACTGATATATCTACAAATATACAGGGTACAATTAATCTTTAGACGTATGAAAAACTCTTATTCATATATCATATATTCCCACCATGTTTAGCTTGGTTTGGTGTTATGATTATCACCTTCCAACCTCAAGGTTGGAAGTTCAATCCCCATTAGAGACACTATAAGGGTAGAGATCCCTTACCCTTTTCTCTCACTCTTAAAGTATCTAACCCGCAAATATCGAATCAAAAAAACCGTGAGAGTTGAGGTACGGTTCAGGATCGTTGTTGTAATTAAATAGCTCTAATTTAATTACAACTCTGTCATTTGCTTTACATTGCAAGTTTCTTAGAAACCTACCCTTAAAAGTTGAAAAGTACTACTCCCTCCGTCCCTAAATTACATTCCTCTTTCTAGCATTTATTCCTCACATAATAGAGAGAAAGAGGAATGTAATTTAGAGACGGAGGGAGTACTCCGTATAAAAACTAAATACAATTTCCTCTAATGGTATTAGTTTAGAAAGTTAGAATAATAAAATTATGTGTCCATTAGTAGTATTACGGTCAAAGCTTAATGTTTCTAGTTTTCTTGCATACATATTTTCCCCAAAATATATTTCAAAAAACAACTCTTCAATCAACCATTAGATTTAGAACAACATAGTCAAGATTCATTTATATCAAGATAAAAAATGCTTTAAATACACATCAATCAAAATCCAACGATTGCAACAACACAATCTCCACGATTCCTCCACGTGGCAATACCAAACCCTGATGTACGGTCAAGATTTCATCTTTAAAAACCGAATTAAACTTGGGCGTGTGAACAAATATATGTTCTGATACATGTACATATACGGCCAATAAATTATAGTGGACACGTGTACGGCTCATATTACTTAGAAAAAATTCAGAATAAATAAATTAAAAACAAAAGATAGAGAAAGAAATTCGTTCTTTCACCTTGAAAAAATGTGACGATAAATTGCGCGTGGTTTCTGCCGTAACTTAGCCTTTCAACAGGACATTTCTCTCACTGTCTCTTACGCAGGGCGCCTGCTAAATACAAACAAAAACAACAATTCAGCTACAGCAGTTACCTTACAAAACGACGTCACTTTATTCAAAAACAATTAAGTTTTTTTTAAAAAAAAACAAACAAACAAATCTACCATAGTTTGGTAATAGCAATTAATATTAAACAAAATAAATAATATTCCAGTAAATACAGTAAAATTGTAATGAAAATTTTATTTTGGAATTAATTTAAAAATTTTGAAGAATTTTTTTAAACTTGTATTCGTAAATTTGAGCAATTTTGAAAATGAAATGATTTTTGACATTTTCAAAAACGTCGTATTCGATAGTATTTGACTTCGAATGTTAATTAAAAAAAAAAATTGACGTAAGATTATTATTCGAAGGAAAAAGCGCCGAAAGTGAAGAAAATGCAGATTAAAGCGAGTTAAATGCTGCAATAATGGCGAATAATTTGCTGGAAACAAATAAAAGAAAATTCAAAAAAAATTACGGAAAAGTTGAGTAAACACAATGTCGTTGGTCTTACCGAAAATTACGATATTTTTGTCGATAGTTTGGTGAAGTGTCGAAAACGAAAAATTCAACGAACTTCGATTTCAGATGTTTTACCAACCCTAAATTGCGAAATGTTTCGTCCGCCTCAAATTAATTAACGCAAAATCGGATGAACAATCAACGAACTTCAATCAATTTCACCAAAAAAAAAAAGAAAAAATCGACTTCCTGAGTAATATTTGAGCTTTTAGAGAGAGAAAGTACCGAGCTCGAGGAGAGAGAAAAATGGCGGAGATCAGAGGAGAGAGAAAGAGAGAAAGCGGGAGGAAGTGTTTTTTGCGGAGAAAAGGTTTCGGACAGAGAGAAAGAAGGGGTGATTGGGGAATTAAAAAGGGGCTTAGGTTTTAGTCAATATTACAGGGCAATTTGTATGGTCGAATTTACGGAATTAACCTTGGTATTTTATGAGTTTTACAGAGGGTTTTATTGGATGTGTGAGTAACGTTCGGAAAGGCGGTGAGGGTAGATTTGGAATTTCGAGTTAGTTGAGTTACGAGGACTTGAGGATTGTTGTGTACAGCGGAGTATTATACTACGAGTACTAATTATGCAGGTGTGTTTTCGTATGAGTTTTCGTTTTCTTTACATCCACCCACTACCTCTATTTTCCCCAATTATATTTGATTGTTTATAACTTTATACTCGTACGTACTTTATTATCAAGGGAATTATATAAGTAAGGGTTTATTTTCTTCGGCTTAATTTTAGCTTAGTTTGATTTCTAATTTCTTTCTCTTATAAATAGTTCAGCTCGATTAAGCTAAAATCAGTTTAGTTTAGCTCTAATTAATTCAGTTTAGTAATTCAGATCAGGTCTTTACTTTTTCTTTTTCTTTTTTTTTTTTTTTTTTTTTGACAAAGGATACAAACAGATTACATACTAATACTAAAGCAAATAAAATTAACCGCCGCTTCCCTGGCAATTAGATGTGCTCGATGAACGTGCTGACGATCCGCCTTATGTATGCTACAATACTGAAAGGATGAGCCAAGTCGTTGAATCTTGCGGATGAGCCAGAGGTAAGCCACATTATTCTTTTTTTTAACGGAATGGAATTATAACTTTATCTCCCTTCGTCTCATATTATAGTTCCCGTTTTTTTTTTTTAAGTTAAAATATTGTTTATGTTACTATTTTTGTATAATATGTACCATTATCCCCTCACATTTTTTACTTTATCATTGTGCTTCCTACACTACCCTTAAATTTTTCACATGCATTGTACACCCTCCATGTTTTAATAAATGTTATAATTTGATCGGCTTATAGTTTTAGGCAATTTAATTGACTTTAATCAAATAAGAGATAAATGAGGTAGTTAGAGCGAGTATTAAAAAAATTGTAAAAGAAAGAGTTTTTTTTTACAATTTCTTAATACTCGCTCTAACTACCCTTGTAAAAGAAAAAGATAATGGAGTTTATAGCTTATTAAAAAGTAATGAATGTGAGACGAAAGATATATTTTTTTAAAAAAATATTGTGGGTTCAGTTGTAGACCTTGAGAAGAGATAGATATAATATTTAAATGTAGTTTTTTACCAAAAAAAAAAATGTAACACTTATTAGAATACGGAGGGAATGTTATGATAATATCTAAATATGGATGACTATTATCCCATGTACAATCTAGAACATTCTAGAGTTGGGTATTTGGTCTTATCTATTGATGGAACCCTAGGTAATGTACATTATATATATCCCGTACTAGATGGAATATGAAATACAACGTAACAATCTTCCCTCATCTCTCTATATTTTCTCTTCCATATTTAACACGTTATCAACACCATTGCTAGTCAACTGAGTAGGATTACCAAACATTTATCTAGAATCCCCTATTATTATTATCATGTAAGTATGATCGCAGCCCATAACAATTATAATTTAACATTTATCTACTTTTGCATGCTTATTTATTGGAATATCAACATATATAACGAATATAGAGCATGATATATAATTTAAGGTTCCATTCTTATTTTTCTCCATGCTAACGTTCTCATCTTCTATTTCGTTCTTATTTATGCATGATTTGTACCAGGTTTATTTATGCATGATTATAACGTTTAATACATATTTTGGATACTATTTATATATACTTATTTTTTTAATGTTATTTTATATAGTGAATAATGTCGAATCTTGCCAAAC